GCACTTCCAATGATCCAGGGGCAGCCACAGCTTCTCTGTCCAACCTGGGAGAGGACCTCAACACCCTCCCAGACAGCAATTCCTTCTCAATATCCCACCTATCCAATCTAACCTTGCCCTGGGCAACCTGTGCCAGGGCCTTCCCACCTTCCCAGCCAGGAATTCCTTCCCAATATCCCATCTAGCCCTGCCCTCTGGCAGTGGGAAGCCATTCCCTGTGTCCTGTCCCTCCATCCCTTGTCCCCAGTCCCTCTCCAGCTCTCCTGGAGCCCCTTTAGGCCCTGGAAGGGGCTCTCAGCTCTCCCTGGAGCCTTCTCCTCTTCAGGGGAACCCCCCCAGCTCTCCCAGCCTGGCTCCAGAGCTGAGGGGCTCCAGCCCTTGGAGCAGCTCTGTGGCCTCCTCTGGACTCGCTCCAGCAGCTCCAAATCCTTGTGATGTTGGGGATTCCAGGGCTGGAGCAGCTCTGCAGGTGGGGTCTCACCTGAGGGGGCAGAGGGGCAGAATTCCCCCTCATCTGATGCCCATGGGGGATTTTTGGGCTTTCAAGTGCTCATTTTGGTTCATGTCCAGCTTCTCATCCACAAAAACTGCCAAAGTTTAGATACAGATTATAGATGGATGGAGAAGGACAAGACCATCTTGAGCCTCAGGGCTCTTCCTCACAATTTTGAGGCTGCAAATGAGCAGTGCAGGACCATTTCTTACATCAAAGAGTCAATAAATAACCAGTCCCACCTGCCCCATCCATCAGCTGGAAACACTTGCACAGGTTTTGGAGCTGAAAAATACTATTAATCATCCTTCTGGGTCCTAATGGATTTCTTAAACAGCCTAGAAAGTAGGAACATTAGGGGAAGATAAATGGGGATGAGAGCAAAGGGTTGTAACACAAATTAGGGACCATTTTGTCCCACACTGGGAAGGGAAAAGTGTTTGCCCAGAGGAGGCTGCAGAAAATGGAGGAAAAAACTCCACAAGGGACAAAAACAGATCAGAAAATTGTACCCCAGAGAGCTGAAAGTGTCCCCCACTGAGCTGAGAGCAAAGAGCCAAACAAACATCTCTGGGGTTTATGAATTTGCCTTTTACAGATGGAGAAACTCCATGAGCAGCTTGGCCTTGCACAGGGGTCACCCCAAACCAGCTCAGCATTGATTTTTCCTTCCTGAATTCACCTGGAGGTGGATCCTAAGGAATCAACAGCTTCAACAAGTCAGAAGAAGTGGAAAACCGTGTCCTTGGAGATGCTGTCCCAACACTAAGCCCTTCCTTGAAGGCCTCAGTTGGATCTTTCCCCATTCCCTAATTTTTCCCTAATCACTTCCCTAATTGCACCCAGTGATCCTCGGATCAGTGCTTGTTTTCTGTTCCACCTCATCCCTGATAACGGGATTAATCACCTGAAGAACAGGCAAGATGTGGGAGTCTGGGGGGTGTTTTGGCTCCCAGGGCTTTCCCAGAAATTCGGGAAATACAGGAACACTGTATTTGTGCCACTGGGGCTCTTTTGCCAGGAAAGATAACTGCAGATGCTGAAAGGGAAACTGGAGCCTGGGAATATCTTGGAATCTCCCTGTGTTATCCAAATGGCCTGGAATGAGGTTATTTTACAGCTCCTGGGACTTCTGTTGGACGACAGGGGTATGGACCTGTCTCTCCATGAACTGGGGGAGCCCAGAGATGCTGCTCCCCCACAGGCATCCAGATAATAAGATTATGCTAATCCATATTCAGCAGCAAAGCCTTTAAGGATTTAGGAAGTTTTGAAATATTATTTAAATGTATGTCAAGCTTTACATTATTTGCTGTTATTAACTTGTCACCGTGGGCAGATTAAAATCCCGAGCGAGAAGAGCCCTCCGGAGTGACAGATTTGAAAGCAAATGTGTCACTTTTTCCTCCCTGAGCCAGACAATAATTTGTGTTTACAGTGCATTTCATGCAAATGAAGAGCCAGTCAGGTTTGGGGACATCATCCCCCCCCGCTCCAAGGTGTCCTGGTTAAACTGGGGACTTCCTGAAGGGAATGGAACAAGCCCAAGTCCTGCAGCAGCAGCAGCAGAATCCCACAGCCCTCACCCTCCTCTGAGTTATGAACCACCCTCCATCCCAGCTTGCCTCTAAATATCCCCTTTCCCTTAATGAGAACA